GCTTCCATGGTCATTTTTGGTTTTTATATGTCGAGGCAGTAAAGATGAAGAATAGCATTGATTTCTAATTGTAGTATAAATTTTGAATATTATTTGTCTCCAGCCCTCGCGGAATCTATTTTTGTTGGTTTGTTAAACGCAGAGACTGACAAGTTTAATGCTTTATTCGTTGAACAAGAAGAATATTTGATCATCCACCACAAGGTATGATATAAAAAAGAAAAACATAGAGTTTGATCTTGGGGATTGAGTTTACCAATATACTCGGGCCTGATTCAACTGTTTTTTTGATTATATATATTCCGAAGAGCTTTTATGCTTAAATTGGGTATTGAGCTTCTGTAATTAATTTTTTAGTTCCACTGCTTGTTTTTTTTTTTTCAATAACTAGATTTTAACATGTAGTACACTACGTGAGGATTTGTTTTCTAAAACTAGTGATTTTTAAAATTTAATAATTATGTATCATATATAAAAGTTTGCAAATTGTATCATTTTATAAGACATTTATATTTTATAGTTTACAATTGTTATTAACTAACGGTATACCACGAGATAATTTTTGTTTTATACAATCTTATCTAAATTGATTCGATATGCCTAACATTGATGGTGTTAAAATAAAAAATGAAGATTTAACCCATATGAATGAGGCAAGTTAATGAAATTTTAAATTTTTATTAATGTTGATTCAAACCCGTCCCGCCATATAATCCCGTCCTGGAATATAACACGTCCAGTGTTTTTTTATATGTTGTTCATAATATTATAATTTTTTTATTGATTTTAATTATATCAATAATTATAATAAACCTTTTTAAAAGTAAAATTTGATATTTTTGTTAAAATTAAGGGGCTTTTGCAAAAATGCCACTTTTTCAATGCCACTTTTCAAAAATACCCCTTTTTAAAAACCTTCTAAAAAATCTCTTAAAAATATAAGATTTACCCAAATATGTATGTAATATTATTAAAACATACACAAACTACATTTCTATGTATCTAAAATCTTATAAATACCTTATAAATGCATTTTAAATACCTTTAAAAACTTTTAAAATATCTTGTAAAACCTTTGAAAAACCTTAAAAATCCTTTAAAATAACTTGTAAAACCTTTAAAAACACCTTATAAAACCTTATAAATACTTGGATCGAGTCTTCAAGTAGTAGTTACAATCCATAAGTACCTTATAAACCAAATAAAACTTTATAAAAATTTCAGATTTAAAAAGGGGCATTTTTTAAAATGGACATCTAAAAAGGGCATTTTTGAAAAGGGGCACACCAAAAGGGGTATTTTTAACAATTTCCCTAAAATTAAACAGTTTAACTAAAAACGAATTAAACCGTATACTAACTTTTAAATTTGGATGCTTTCTGCTCATTTGGATTTAGATTCATTTTGATCTTATTTATAATATGACTTTGAATCATTCTCTAAATATTTTAGCCGATGTGGGACGTTGAACACATACCTTTTTTATTAATTGAGTAATATATATCTGTTTTTAAAATTTTGAATCACAATCTACGCTGAAATTTTTTTGAGAATTTTTTAAATTTTATGTATTATATGATGATTTAAAACAGTAAAAAAATCATACAAAGATGATGGAAAAATCATAATTTTAAATTTTTAACCAAATATTCTAAATATTTATATTATTAAATATGAAATATTATATGGATATCGGGTTCATAATTTCGGATATGCTTTGACCCAATCCAAGTACAAAATTAACTTCAAAAAGACTAATATAGATGAATGATTGGTTATGTTCATTTGGCAAAGTGTATAGGTTCTATGTTATAGAACAAAATAACTAGGTTTATTGTTTTAATGGCAACAAAAAAAACCTAAGGTTTATTGTTTTCAAAGAATTTGCTAATTATATAGAGAAGATTATATGTTCTACTTTATAAATAAAAAATCAAGCATTTTGTCCTGCGACTGTGTCTATGAAGAGATGACTTGATTTGTGATATTTACATTCATGTTCAAGACTTATAATTAAGTAAACAACTTACATGTCCAGGATATGTTTTCAAAGCAAATAAAGGAAATTAACAGAAGACAATAAGTGTGGAAATCTCTCAAGATCACCAAATGTAATGAGCCAAAAGCCTTACACTTATTAGATCTTGTAACTGGGCCCATTGCCAAAGCTTGAAAGTAGAAAGAGATTAAAACAAAGCTTTCTCTTAACCCAACTCTCTCTTAGAGAATTAGGTTAATCGTTGGAATTTGAGTTTTATTAAAAACCAAAGACCCTTATATAGGACCACGAGACATTCCAAATCATAATCTTAATCTAAAAAGGAAAAACACCAAAACTCTTAACATTTATCACCAAAATGTGGAGAGAAACAACAAAGAAAGATGGGAGAAGATGAATACCAACTCAAACACACGATCTTAGCGCGCTGGAAGTCAACAAAACTCAAACGTTTAAACACAGATCTTAATATGTCACCAGGGAGCTCCGACCAGCAGGGGCTAGAATTTGGAGTCTCCATGCTTTTATCTGTTTCTTTGACATTTGCTTCTCCACGTAGTGATACAGAAGAAGTTAGGCGGCGTCTCTTACGTTTAGCTTGAGATTCATCACTTTGATCATGTTCTTGAATTTTTGTTTCTTTCTCATTGATCTCAATTTGACAATCTTCCTCATTCATATCTAGAAATTCACTCTGAGCAGTTGTTTGTTGAAATTCAGAATCCATATCTGCAAATGAAAATTCCAAAAAATTTAGAATCACTGATCTATTAAAAAAAATTATCCATTATCTGAATCATGTGTTTAATACAGCTATATAGTTGAGTTTTATCAAATAAATAATGTAACGCAATTCGCTATGTATAAGCTTCTAACATGTAATAGATCATTGTTGCCAATGCTTATAATTATTCCGATCGAAACAAACCCTAATATATCAAAACACGAATTTAGTGAAACGAAAAAAACTAACCTCGGAAACACAGGACAGAAGCTTGAGGATCTCGAAAATTGTTGCCAAATGCTTGTCGTAGTACTAAAGTGAACCTAAAACGGCGCCGTTTTTGAAAACGGGCCGGCCCATTTACGTTTTTGTACGATAGTGTGGAACGATTTGGTGCAAAAGCTCTAGAGCATAATTCATGGTCTGAATTCCAACAATAACACACCACAACAAAATGGTGATACCAAAAGAAACAATATGGTTTTTAAAGAGAAGGTTAGTATAATGCTTTACTTATGTTTGAGTAACGATTTTTTGGAAAGAATCTATTGTTATAACTTGCTAACACGTAAACCGAGTTCCAACAAAAAGAATTTTGGCACAAATGAAACCCCAATTTGACTTCTCTTCAAGTTTGGTGCTATAGGGTTAGTTGTAAACTTTTGGAGCCGACTAGAAATAGAAATAAAAAGAAAAATAGGAGAAAAGGTGTGGAGATTCTCAAGAACACCAAAATGTTCAAGATGGGAGAAACCATCGAGCATCCTTGAGCTTTAAATTGTTGGAGAGATCGAGACCAAGACCGGGGAAGCGTTTGAGGGTCTTTGTTGCAAGATTATACACACATATGTCCGGGCATGAAGGTTCTCGGCCATGGTAACAAGCACGGTCATGACGGGTGAAATATATAGAGTTTGGTTCGATACCAAGGTTACGGTCAGCAGGCACATGTAACCTATTCTAGACAAGTACAGTTGTTGAATGAATTGACATGTCGATGAGACGTAAAGACTGTTACGACCATCACAATTGGAGTACCATTAAACTAAAGCTGTCAATAGATGTGCAGTGGTTCCAACTTAACAAGATTTTTGAACGATAAAGTGGAACGATTTTGTGCAAAATATAGAGTGGATTTAGTTTTGAAGGGTGAACTAAGGTTAGTCGTAAAATTTTTGGAAAACAAAGGGAAGAATAAAAGACACAGCAATAAAAAGAATATAACAGGAGAAAAAAGTGTGGAAATCCCCCTCAAGAACACCAAACAACACGGTGCGTTTCGTTTTTGCCAAAAAAAAAGGGGAAAACCCCAGGATGAAAAAGTAAAGGCTTAACTAAGGGAAGCACAAACGTTCTATGATTTTATTTTTTTCCTGATAAAAATGATCATATGATTATTATTTTTTGAATAAAATATAAAATTTATTCGGAAAAATGAATGCGTTTGTTTGAGCGATTTTAGAATACAAAGATCAAAATAAAAACAAAGATGAATGCGTCTTTCTTATATTTCGTATTTCCTATCGCCTTGTTTTCGAATGGAGGATATTCTGTTTCGGACTTGCTTGAGCTGAGGGAGTTGGTACTTCTCCATGTCTACGACTGTTCCATCCTTCCCATAGCGAATGTACTGTGAGCTGAAATGTGTATCTCGTCAAGAACAAGCACTCATTCCCAAGAGACGTATATGTGAGGAGCTTGATGATAGTTTCCCAAGTTGTTGAGAAGTGTCGAGAGAGGAGCTTCATAGTTAGTCCCGACCAAACCTCTGCCGAGTATTGACATGTGAAGAACAAGTGGTTGCGATTTTCCAACGGTTCATGACAAAAAACACATGAAATATCTACTCCGAAATTCCAACTTAGCATTTTATCTCCTGTTATTAAATGATTCTTTATTGCAAACCAAGCTAGAAGTGAGTATTCGGGTGTAGCCTGTGAGCTATGGTTACAACTTACAACTAATAGTTTTGTGATAACTCTCGTCTCTTTATCAAGGTTGGCACAAAAGAAAACCAAATTTGTATTGGTGATGAAATGTAATACTATTTATTCACATTTTGCAAACATGATTCCACTATTTATTTTTTTTTTTTTTGGCAAAGATTTCACTATTTTTTATCATCAAGTTTTCACTCAAGAATTCACCACAGGATTAGAAGAAAAAAAAAACAAATCATATCAAAACGGGAGAAACCATAAAGCATCTATGAGCTTTAAGTTGGAGAGACCGGGGAAGCGTTTGAGGGTCTTTGTTGCAAGATTGAACACACAGATGTCCAGGCATGAACACACAGATTTAAAGTCTAACATGAATATCAACGAGACAAAACAAACCCAAATATCAACAATACGAATTTGACTGAAACTTGAAAAACCGAGAACCCTAATATTAACCGAAACCTAAACATAAAAATAATGTGTGGAAACTCTCAAGAACACCACAAAGGATGAAAAAGAAACAAATCAAGACGGGATAAACCATCGAGCATCCGTGAGCTTTAAGTTGGAGAGACCCGGGAAGCGTTTGAGTTTCTTTGTTGCAAGATTGAACACACAGATGTCCAGACATGAATGTTTCCAGCCACTACGGACACGGTCATGACGGGTGAAGTAGATGGAGTTCCGTGCGATACCAAGTAATGTACCGTCCGCAGACACGGTGATACCCAAATCTAGAAGCAGAGCCTCATCACCTAGAGAATATACCTCAACCATCGGGTACGGGTTGTTGATAATAGTATTCAAATCTGGATTAGGATCTTTCTTGTACAGACGGAAGCTCCTATATCTTGTTGCCTCGTAAAAGAAGTTCTGAACCAACAAAACCTCTCCTGATATTGTAACAGCAATGTTATTGCCAAATCTTGCTCCATCTGGGAGATAAAATGAGATTTTACGAAATGGTAATATCTCACTGTTGGAGACATCAATGAAACCTTCTTGTCCAAAAAAGTTAAGCTTTTGAATCGATTGACGAGTGGTTGAGATGTAAAGACTGTCACCACCATAAAGTACCATATCATATAAGCCTTGTAACTCTTTACCAACATTTTTTCGTATCGGAATGTCGCGGTAATGATCTTCCCCGTTCTTGCAAAAGGCTAAATATTCGGTACCTTTGTCGAAAAACCACACAACAACGAATTCTTTCTTCTTCTCGTCTACCCACAAAAGACCTCTCAGATCTTCCGCATTATGGAATGAATATGCACTACCATTATTTAATCTCGCCTTGAATGCCGTGTCTCCTACTTGCTCAAGACTAAAAAGGCCACCCTTCATTGACTCTAGAGGTGGAAGATCGATCTTTTTCTCGCTAAACAAATCTATGATATAGATATTGGACTTAGAATCTAGAACTAAGAACCAGTTACCTGAGTTTGCCAAGAATCGAATCCCGGAAAAGCCTCTCTTCGTTCTGTAAATTCTTGCTTCATCCGGGTTGTACATAGCACAACCACCATCGTTTAAAAACAGAATCAACCACGGAGATCCGGTTTTTCGTAGCAACGATTGTTTGGAACACGAATACCAATTCGAACACACGATCTTAGCGCGGTGAAAATCCACAAAACTGAAACGTTCGAACACAGATCTCAAGATGTCTATAGGGAGCTCCGACCAGCGGCCGGAATTAGTAGTCTCCATGCTTTTATTTGTTTCTAGAAATATCAAATTGATCAAAAGTTAAACTTTGTTACTAGAAAGATCAAAATTTAAGCGGTAGAATTGAGAAATGGACAATGAGAGGATATAACAAAAAAGTAACAAACAAGCAAGAGACTATAATTTTGGTGTTTCTCTGTCCAATTTGAAGATTAATTTGAAGATTATTCAGAACCCTAATTCAATCAGTCGAAACCTAGAAACACAAGCTAGAAGAAGAACTAACCTCTTCCCTTTAGAAACTTCGACACAGAAGATTTGCTGTGCAAAGTTACTGATTCCGAAATTACGCAAGTCTGTAATGTAATCAAGTGAAGAACGAAGAAGTGAAACTCAAATGTCAAAAAAATTGCATCTGCTTGTTAAGCGAAGAAGAGATGCCTAAAACGGCAACGTTTTGGCAAAAAGTAAAACCCCTCAAATAAAACGAAGTCGTTTTGGGAAATAAAACGCCAATACATTTCTGATCCCAGCAATCGTTACAAGCATGGTCATGGCAGGTAAAATAGACAGAGTTTGGTTCGATACTGAGGGTAGTGTCAGCATCACCTAGAGAATCTAATTCAACAAACGGGTTCGGGTTGTAGATAATATGAAAGGGGGTCTGGATTAGGATCCTTCTTGTAGAGACGCAAGATCCTAAGCCTTGTTGTTTGGGTAAATTGCATGTTTTGGCATAAGACCAAGTTTTAATTTCATGTTTTGGCAAAGTGAGAATTGACTTTCAAGTTTTGACAATTTAGCCAAAATCTGACCATTTTACCCCTGCCAGCGTACCGATGTACTGTTCACTGTACGGTTCAGTTATGCGGTTCAGTTATGTACACTGTTCTGGTTTAGTTATGCAGTTCAGTTATGCGATGTACTGTTCACTGTACGGTTCAGTTACGTACACTGTACACGGTTCAGTTATGCGGTTCAGTTATGCGATTGACTGTTCACAATTTTCTTATAATCTTTTGTTTTTTTACATTTAATTTATTTATTGATTTTGTAAATCTAGTTTATATTAGCGTATTTTGAAGTCGAAAAACTAAAATACAAACTCTATAAATATTACGTACACCGTCTCCACAATAGTACATGATATAACTGAAGTACATATCCATTTTATAATCAATACTGTGTATACCGTAAACTACATACATGTAAATAGAAAAAACTCAAATAAGGACATATTTCTACCAAAAATATCTTACCAATTTCATACAAGTTTTCTACGAACTCAATTAAAAAAATATTTATAATTTGTTTTCAGTAAATAATTGAAATCAACTATGATCAACACACAAATTGACTCTAATGAGACTCACAAAACTCCAGCTCTGTTACGCAATTTACATAATCATATGTCAAATACGAGAAGCAGTAGAAACAAACCTCACAACTAAAGAAAAACATTGAGGAATAGTATGTTTAAACGTGACACAGAGCCGTGTGTGGTTTGAAAATCTTAAACACTTGTCAGTAGATGATTCGCTTTTCCATTTTATAAATATTTATTGTTTTTATATTTTTAGTTAAAATTCTTTTTTTTCTATCAGACCCATTTTCATATTTTTATTTCTATTTTAAATAATATTTTATTTATTATTATCGAAGACTATTCAGGATTAGCAATATCATATACACATATGTGTGTAACGGTAATAATATATACGTACACGGTAATAATGTGTACGTACACGGTAGTAATGTGTGTGTATATATGTACGTAAATATCTAAATAATTTGTATATTTACGTTTCAAATATTTTTTGACTATAAAAACAAAACATTCAAATCATGTATGAACAACATATGAAAAAAATACAGTCATACAAATAACTGACATAATAACTTAATTTTGATGTCAAAAAATTAAATTAATGTTGTACCATGTACGCTTCAATAAATATTTTTGTGTACGTACATAGTATAAGACTTATGTGATTTAGGCATTTTTAGGATGTAACTGTTTGGAGAGGTCGTATGATGCGGACATCAAACATGTTGATGGACTAGCTGAGCTATTTGCTGAAGGAGTTGTAAGAGACAAACATGATCCATCAAACAAACAAATTATTTTGAACGAATGTGATGCTGGAGAAGTTTTGATCTTCTTGATTTACAAAGTTTGGAGCCAAGACAAGCATTGATCGTGTAAGTAATGAAATTAGTTAAGAAGTTTTTTATTATAACACACTAGCGTCTTGATTGTGTTCGAAATCAACATTGTTTTTATATAAAAACCCAGAATATTTTTATTTCCAATTTTTTTAGTTGAAAATGCTAAATGAGGATAGATTTATGTATATAAGTGTGTAGTTGGGAATTCTTTTTGTTTTTTTGTAGATATAATCATGCTTTCATTTGCATTTAATGGGGTTCTGCTGAATTTATGATGCAGGTGAGTAATGGATATTCCTGTATTTACTATGGTGGGTGAGTGGAGATGCAAAGAAGAAGAATGGAAATTTGAACCATGGGAAGGCTGGTTTGGTCGTTGTGTACGTGTTAAGGAAAACATGACGTACACGGAATTTGTACGTACATTATGCGAGGTTTTCAGTTTGAAGTCCACCGAATGCAATCCAATAATTAGTTACTGGATGCCGGGAAAGATGTCAGTGATGATAGAAAGTAAACGCCCTCCTGTCTACATTAACAATCAAATGAGCCTGAATACCTTCTTTTTGATTCGTGGTGGGGATCTTAGTGTCACCTTGTTTGTCTCTTTCATTACAACCGTCAAGGCACTCGGGAATACTGTCCCTAGGACCGATGGTGACGATGGTGAGAGTTACCGTGTGTGTGGGAGTGCAACAACACCAAATCCCATCGTAGCGGCTTCAAATGTAGATGGAAATAATGAGGCCGTAGATGAGCAAGACGACGTTGAATACGATAAAACATATGAGGATGAAGAAGAGGAGGAGGAAAACGAAGATGGTGCTGGGTATGATGATTATCAGGGTGATGATAGATCTATGGGGGGAAGTACCCTCGATCCTACTATAGACGGTAGTGAAGGTACTGGCGAAGATTACGATTACAACAAGTGGAACGATGTAATTGTTGAAGAATATGGAATAGAGAATGTTGAGGAGAACGTCATTCTCACTCAACAAACGGTTCAACATCCAGGGGAATTCAGTCGTCTATTGGCAGAGTGTACGTACACAAGTCATCGTGTACCTGGCGGAGATAACTTTTCTCATTTGGGTGACAGTACACCAACCGTGACTCCAACACGTACGTGTCAACATGGTTTGTACCAATGTACGTATACTAGAGACTGTGTACAAGATACATGCTGCGAAAGTGATTTTGTTACGTACATGGATACCAATCTTAATGGTATAGACAAAGTCACTGGGGATGATGTTCTCGAGTGTGGTATTTGAGCTTCAGCAAGTGGGTCACTGAATGATCATCGGCTAGTTACCGCAGCTGAGGCTTACGAAGTGTATTGTTTCTTAAACTATATAAAGTTATTGTTCTTTTCAAATAAAACTATGAATAATAAAATATATGCTACTTGTACGTACAGCTATACGCCATTATTAAAATATATTGTCTATGTACGTTTTACTAGTTTAATCAGCTATGTACGTATTTAGTGTACGTACACCAGAGACAAAGTCTTTCATACTTGTTGAAATATACTAAGTGGTCGTATATTTTACTAGTTTAATCGGCTATGTACGTAATATTAGTTTTACGCTATGTACTTTTTTAGTGTACGTACACCAGAGACAAAGTCTTTCATACTTGTTGAAATATACTAAGTGGTCGTACGTTTTACAAGTTTAATCCGCTATGTACAAAACCAGTGTACGTACACAAAACCATACGTATTTCATACATGTTGTCTGCAAACAATAAAAAGTTCATTCATTCATAATATAACTGCTCGAAAAAAGGGAATACAATGCATAAAGACAAACAGAGTAGAGTAGATTACGAAGAAATAAACTAAAGAGTAGAGCCAACTTAATCGACTCACTCGATCAATGAACGAAAGAAGGATGTTGAACTTATCAACAAACTTAATCCGCAGATTCAAATAGGCCTAAGAGACTCACTCACTTAAGACTAATGAATAAACGACAAAGACTCGAACTTTGACAAAAAGAAAATGTTTCTTATTACTTTAAAATTGATCAAGGGTGGTTTTTACAAAGAAATGACTTGAGCTTATATAGGCTCGACTCTAGGATTGGTACAACAGTCTCATGACTCAAAATAGGAAAGCAATACACGAAATAAATCAAAGAAATCAAGTGGAGATGTGCCTTGAAAGAATATTAGCCGTTAGGCTTTGAATGCTTAGGCCAAAAGGAGTAATTCGTGGGATCTTGTATCTTGACAGCTTCTGGATGATTCCATGGCTTATTAATCTTCTAATAACTCCCTTAATTCGCACCAAATCAGAAGATATGGTAACTCTTGGTGTATGATTAGGAAAGATTGAATCCACTTGATCCAAGGGCTGAGAATGAAGCTTGAGGTGATCTTAGGAGTCTCTAGTTGTAATAGAAACTCTCCTGGACGCCAAAGTTTGGTTTGCAAGTAATTAAACCCGTCAGCTTCCAAATAAGGCAAGCTGAGCATCATCTGGTTTAGAAAATTAATATCTTCTAAACCAAAATCGGTATTGACTTGACTCCAATTCGAAAAGCTCCTCTGATGAGTCAAGAGTGTACGAAAATTCACTTTGTATCTTAACGCCTTCTGGTTTGGTCGGAATCCTCCAATAACTGCACGTAGGTCCAAACCGAGTTCGTTGGGGATCATCCCGTTTGAAAATTGAATAACTCCTTCGTGTGAACTCCGTTTGGGCTGATTCTTCTTCGTGGTTGTCGGTAGTTGAGCTGAGAATGTATTCCAAGTGATCTCTGGGCAGGAGGAATTGATCTTGGCCTTCGTCTGGACTGAAAAATGCTGAGGGGTCTTCTCGGGTAGGCTGAATTGGCTTTGTCCTGAAGTTTTGGATAAAACTTGGTTAAAATTCCCACTTGGCTGCTCCTGGGTTGTTGTTTCTCGCCCATAATCTTCTCCATGGTTGGTTCTTGGGTTGATGACCGCATCAGATCTCCTCGGCTACCTTCAACCAGTTGTGGTGGAGAAGTGGGTCTGCAAAGGATGGGATAAGTATTGCCCGCAGACCAATCCACCTTAACTTGATATTCCACTAGAGGTGCATCAGGAGAATCAGACTCTCTAGCAGCAAATGTGATGTAGTATGTTGTCCTGCCCCCTGGGTTGAAATTAGCCCTCAAAACATGCTCCAACTTCACATTGAATCCCTGAAAACAAGAGACAAGAATGGCTCATCTCATATTGCCTAGGACTCTGAAAGTCAAACTAGAGATGTTACCTTTCGTTTGTTATATTTGTCAAGACACAGAGATGTCATGTTTGCTAAAAACTGACGAACGGTCAAACCTTCCTCAAGGTCATCGTCCAGGGACTGTAGCAATTCCAGCCAAAAGGTAAGGTGGGAATTCGTCAGTTGCCTCAAAAAAAACCTAAAACCAAAACAAAAAATTTAACTACAACAATGTTACTTGATTTTATATGACCCAATCAATAAAAGACTCAAAATTCGATACGTATAGAGATGAAAATGATGATCATACTTTGGTTTCGATGACCGTGCGCTTGTAAAAACGGGCCCTCTTCTCAAAATATTTGTCGATATACTCCTTCTGATCATCACAGGAATGATATTCCAGACCATCGAAGCTATCCTTATCCCATTCGGAATCACTATCATCGTCGACACCTTCTATGTCGCCTTCGTTTTCACTGAGATCCTCCAGGATGGGGGTTTCAACCTTGCGCTTCCCCAGCATAGAAGATTCATCGCCCGTGGAAATTTCCATGTACTCCGTCGATTGGGTTTCGCTTGAAGATCCATCCTTGGCCTCGCCGTCGCTTGATTTGGGAACCATCTCGATTATTGAGTAAACCCTAGATTCCCCTTTCAATTCAATTTTGGGTTTTTTTTTTTTCTAACAAGAAGCCAAAGTATGGCTCAAGTCTCTCTCGTTCTTCTTCTTCCTTTTCTTCGTAATTGTTTTTTTTTTTTAATTCAAAAACCAAACCGCAAAGAAAAGAAAAAGTAACTAAACCGAAAGTAACTGTGTTGTTTGGTTTAACCGAAAGTAACTGTGTTGTTTGGTTTAATTCATTAGGGGTATTTTCGTCATAATAAGCTTTAACTGTCAAACCATGAGAATGAAATCTCAGTTTGCCAAACGTTGAGAGTAAATCTTTTTTTCATTGGAAACGTGAAAATTTCTTTTGTTGTTTTGTAAAAGATGCTCATGACCCACAAAACTTCTCCTGATGTTGTAACAGAAATGTTATTGCTAATTGTTGTTTCATTATCAAGACATGGCCTCGGAAGATATGGTACTAATATATGAATCTTGGACACAACCTTGAAATCTTGTCTAGACAAATCAATTTTTCGAAAGTAATAACAACTCCTTGAGAGGTAAAGACTGTCACCACGTTGTAGTACCATATCAGATATGTCTGTTAACTCAATGTATGCCGTCGGAATCTCACGATAATGATCTTCTCCGTTCTTGCAAAAGGCTATCTCCTTAATATACTAAAGTACCACACAACAACATACTCTTCTTTCTTCTCGTCTATCCACAAAAGACCTTTCAGATTTTTCGGATGACAAAAGAGGTATAACCGATTCCTAAGACTACCTCCTCGAATTTTTTATCTCCGACTCTCTTAAGATTATACTTGTCACCTTTGATTGACTCTAGAGGTGGAAGATCGATCTTTTTCTCGCTAAACAAATCTATGATATAGATATTTGTTGGGATCGGATTCCACCCGCATTAAGTCCGAGCTAAGACATAACACCTCGGGACGTATCACCAAACCGGCTCGGGGAACTGCCAAAACAGCTCGGGATCAGTCACTGAACTAGCTCGTAGAATGCCGATTGATACGGCTCGGGTCATCCTATACTGGCTCGGGGACGTTTGCCGTGACAGCTCGGGACTACGCAAAGAAAGTTTTCCTTTCACCCCGAGCCGACTTCGCAGAATCGCCCGAGGCAAAAGGACTACGCCATCATATCCGAGCTGGGTTCTCCCTTCGTCCGAGCCAACTTCACAAGTCGCCCGAGCCGCCTCCCCTCAAGTACCCGAGCTCAGTCGACGAGAGTATCCGAGCCCAATCTTCTCAAAGTCTCCTCAGCTCGGGTCGGGCGTCATGACATCGTCCAAGCTGCCCGAGCCGAAATCATCAAAGACACCCGAGGCAAGTACTTAGTAAATATTCGCCTTCAAAAGTATCATTTCCAAGCAAGACATCATTTCCGATATACCCGGAAATGATAAGAGGGAATCTAGAAGGATCGACTCAAATCAGGATATCTTCCAAGAAACTCCGAAGAATAAGGAAATTATCCTTATTCCGCGATATTCTAAGCCGACTTCAAGATAAATGGAAATCTTCCGAGAATATCGCTGGAGAGGCGGTTTATCACCCCTATATAAAGAGACTCAAGGCTCTCACAGAAGGACAGGCAAGATCGCTCTAGAATTTACACAACGCAAAGCTCTCACAGCACAAACATCTTTTTCCTTTTACGATCAAACTCTTGTACGATCAAAGTCATCTTTTTCTTAATAATATCAAGAACGCCATCTTTGGTTACAATCGTTTCTGTTGTTCTTTGAGAATTCACGATTATCGTATCCCTAAAATAAAACCCTAGACAAATCTTGATTGTGTTAGTTTCGACTTCCACAGTTTGGCGCCGTCTGTGGGGATACTTTAGAATTCTCTTACCCTAAGACGCAGAACTCGATTACCGAAAAGGACGATGAACGAAGACGGTCGTCATACACCACCAGCTGGAGGAGGGATCCCGAACCCTCCGAACCCTCAGAATCCTCAAGCCGATCCGACGATCATGGCGACTCTAGCCGAACTGAAAGACCTGATGGTTAAATTCCAGAAGAAAGCTGACGACCAAGAGAAAGCCAACAAAACCTTGGCGCAGCGAGTCGACGAAATCGCAACACGCGGGCAACAAAAAACCACACGTTTCCAGACTCGGCCGCCACGAGCTCGGAGGGACTTGCCTGGCATCAACACAACAAGACTCACGTTCGCGACACCAACCGGCAACACAAGAGTCGCAACCCGAGCCGACCCTGCCAGACGCGAGAACCAAGATGATCCCACCGAGCCGGACGCAGTGGACTTGACGGACGAGCCAGATGATCTGCAAGATGAGCGTACCCGAGCCGGAGCTAACTCCGCCGAGCGAACAGATCTCACTGACGATGAAGAAACTGAGGAAAACATAAGGTGGGCCGAAGAATCCGAAAGAGAAGACGAGCTAAGCAAAATCCGAGCCTCCCTAGCCAAGGCGGAAGCTGATATGAAGCTCGTCAAAACCCAGATACATAGCGTTTCATCCTCCGCACCAAACATCGACCGAATTTTGGAAGAATCTCGGAACACGCCTTTCACCAAAAGAATTTCCGAAACGACGATGTCCAATCTGGGAAAGTTCAAAATTGACTCTTACAACGGATCAACCGATCCTAAGTGCCACATTAAATCGTTCGTGATATCTGTGGCCCGAGCCAGGTTCAAACCCGGGGAAAAGGATGCAGGTCTGTGCCTACTGTTCGTGGAACACCTCAAAGGACCCGCATTAGAATGGTTTTCGAGATTGGAACGAAACTCGATTGATAGTTTCGACGAGCTGTCGACATTGTTCCTCAAACAATACTCCGTGCTCATCGACCCCGGAACTTCCGACGCGGATCTGTGGTCTCTGTCTCAACAGCCCACCGAGCCATTAAGGGATTTCCTCAAGACCTTCAAATCGACGCTAGCCAAGGTCGAAGGAATTACGGATGTAGCAGCTCTCTCGGCTTTGAAGAAAGCTCTCTGGTACAAGTCAGAATTCAGGAAAGAGTTGAACCTGTCTAAACCAACAACAATTCGCGACGCGCTGCATCGAGCCTCGGATTTCGTCGCCCACGAAGAAGAAATGGCGCTACTAGCAAAGAGGCACGAGCCAACAAAACAGGCGTCCCGAACCAAGAAAAACGAGAAAGCCCAAGCGACACCTCCGGTTCAGAAGAAAACGCGTGAGAGCGGTACGTATACGCATCACGAAGGGCGCAATTTCTCAGGATACCATAGCTACTAGATTGACACGCCCCGAGGCCGTGGCCGCGGCAGAGGCCGAGGCCGTGGGCGTGGAAGAGAGTCCTTCACTTGGACGAGGGATCAGCCACCGAGCAATGATCAAGAATATTGTGAACACCACAAAATTTTCGGCCATCATACCTCGAGATGCCGAAGCCTCGGAGCCAAGTTAGCAACCAAATTCCTAGCTGGAGAGCTCGGGACAAACGTAACTCTTAAGGACCTCGAACCAGAGCCCGAGCAGACCAACCCAGGAAGAGACCCCGAACCAAGGAACCAGGAGTCTCAGAAAAGAACCCGGGGGTCGGAAGACGAAGACCGAGATGGTACGCGGCAGAAGGTTCTTACCATAATGGGTGGATCACCTTACTGTCCTGACACCGTAGCGGCAATCAAAGCTTATCAACGCCGAGCCGAGACGCCTAGCAACTGGACAAGACGCTCCGATCGACCTAACGACGTGATCACATTCGAAGAAAGCGAGACAAACGGGCTCGATATGCCTCATAACGATCCAATCGTCGTCACATTAGCAACAGGAGACCACGATATTTACCGAGTATTAATTGACACCGGCAGCACCATTGACGTGATCTTTCGCGAAACGCTCCAACGAATGAACATTGACATGTCACAGGTGATTCCGACCCCGAGGCCTGTCCTCGGATTTTCAGGGGAAACTTTGATGACGCTTGGAACCATCCAACTACCAGTCCGAGCCGGCGGGGTAACAAAGATAGTCAACTTCTCAGTCACCGATCGACCTACCATCTACAACGTCATAATGGGAACCCCATGGTTAAATCTAATGCGAGCTGTCGCATCAACATATCATCTGTGTGTCAAATTCCCGACCCCTAATGGCGTGAAGACGATATGGGGCAGTCAGAAAAATTCTCGGATGTGTTTCATGGCAGCATACAAACTTCGAAACCCTGTCACCGAAGCAAAGGCTGAAACCAATCACAAGATATCAAAACTTGGCCGGAGTGAAGAGAAGGCTATATCTAAACAGTTATAGCAATTACAGATCGAGGAGGCGCGCGAGGAGAAGAAGCCTACCTCGGATCCTGTAATCTCCATTAGCTTCGACGACGAACGGCCTGAACGATGCGTGGAAATTGGCAGCGACTTAACCGAAGAAATCAAGACCGAGCTCATCTCATTCCTCAAAGAGAACATCGACACCTTCGCCTGATCGGCCGAAGATCTACCCGGGGTAAGCATCGACGTAATCTGCCACGAGCTGAATGTTGATCCATCTTTCAAGCCCATCAAG